GATGTTGAGGCCCCAAAGAGCTGGTGCTTCTGGGAGAGCATCTGGCTGCTTGGCTCAGGGAAGCTCTGTCACTAGGCTTCAGCAGTGCTATGCCTGGGGGAACAGGTTGTAGTGCTGGAGGTCACAGGGCTTTGTTTGTTTTTCTTCCCTTTTTGCAAAGGGTGTTTGGGTTTTTGGACTTCTCTGCATTTTTCTTGAGGTATTCTTCAGTTTTAAAGAGTCTTCTTGCCCAGTTGCCTTTTGGCTTTTGATAAGACCCAATCAGATGGGTGTTGTGGGCATGAGACTGTGCTGGGCCATTTTCTTCCCATGTTGCCAAAGAAGAAAGTGGGTAGTTATGAATCGTTAGAGTGAGGCAAAATCAGTGGGGGCAAGTTTGTGTTGATGCAATTAGTGATGTAGTCTGCAGGTTTGGCAAATGCCTTGGAAGCTGGAGTGTGGATGAGGCTGCAAGTCCATAACTGCTTCATTAGGTTGATCAGAATAGGAAAGCCATCTAGAAATGGCTGATGCTGTATTTGAAGTCAAATGTGCAACTCTGCGTCTGGGGAGCTGTGTGGTTCCAAAAGTCCCACGGGTGCGGTAGAAGATGAGGTCAAGAAAAGCCGGCCTGGGACCAGGTCTCCAAGAAGGCCAGGGGTATGGTGGCTGTGTCAGCAGCAGCGGGGCAGCAGAAGCAGGGTAGTGAGCGTGGCCCTGTGCTGGGCAGTGCTGTGGCCACAGCTGGAGTGCTGTGTGCACTTGTGGGCCCTGGGAAGCAGAAAGTCATTGATGGGCTTCAGCATGTGCATAGAAAGACAGAGGAGCTGGGCAAGGGTGTGGAGCAGAGGCCCAATGAGGAGGTGCTGAGGGAGCATTAGCCTGGACATTGGGAGGCATAGGAGGGATCTTCAGCAGACTTCCAACAATCCCTATGTGACATTACTCACCACACAGGCTGTTTCCCTACTAAACATGGTCTTAGTGAAACCAAGTGCTTTCAACATTGGAGTGGGTGATACTTCACTCTTGTTACTTGTTGGCTTCTTGTTTTTCTGGCTGAAGTTTACGTGTTCATTTTCCCTTTTTGCTGCAACCAAAGATTACTCTGCACTATGTTTCCTGCCACTTCGAGCCCTTGATGAGATGGTGATCCACTTGGAGTTTTCGGTGTCTGCGGCAGTAGTAAAGGCGTTGCTGCCATTTTCCTGCTTTTCCATTCCAGAGCATTCAAAAATTAAAAGTTCTGTTTTACAGAAACAAGGTTGATGACTGATAGCAGCCAGGGAGGAATATCAACCTCATATCTATCCACAGTTGTCCTTAACGGGCCATTTTTAACTTGGTCTGTGGGATTTGCTTCCCTATGTTGCTATGGAATGTTCCAATTTCTCCTTAGAAAATGTGGTGGTAGGTTGGAAAAGAAATGAGGTTCTGAATAATAGGTGATAACTTGTCCCTCATGCTTCTCTCCCTGCCACAGCTGACAGAACCAAGAGCCATCTCTCCCCCGGCTCCCTCTGCTCCTGGAGAAGAAGCCCAAGAGGAGCAAATTGAGGCGGACGGGCTCCAGTTTCCATCAGTGGTCACAGAAGAGCCTGAATATCCTGAGCCCGTAAGTGCCAGTTGTGTGTGATGCTGTCATTAGTGCAAGGCAGAGGTGCAAGTTTCATAGCAGCCAGCACTTCCTGTTCCTGGCTGAGGATGCTGAGTGCTGGCGTGCTGCCAGGAGCTAGGGATTTCCTTCAGGCAGTGACAGCAGAACTTGGCCTTTGCCCTGTCATGTTGAAGGTCCAAATGGCTGGTGCCTCTGGGACAGCATCTCGCTGCTTTGCTCAGGGAAGCTCTGTCTCTGGGCTTCTGCAGTGCTATGGCCGAGGGCATATGTGGTAGTTCTGGAGGTCAGAGGGCTTTCTTTGTTTTCCCTTGTTGGAAAGGTGTGGGTGGCTTGTGAGAGTGCTCTGCTGTGTTCTTGAGGTATTCTTCAGTTCTAAAGAGTCTTATTGCCTAGTTGTCTTTTGACTTTTGTTAAGACTCAAGGAGATGGTTGTTATGTGTATGAAGCAGTGCGGGGCCATTGTTATCTTGTGTGGCCAAAGTAAGAAAGGGAGAAGGTATGAAGCCTCCTGGTGAGGCAAAAGCAGTGGGGGCAAGTTTGTGTTGATGCAGTTAGTGATGAAGTCTGCAGTTTTGGCAAATGCCTTGGAACCTGGTGTGTGGATTTGGCTGCAAGTCCATGACTTTTTTCTTATGTTGATGAGAAGAGGAAGGCCATCTAGAAATGGCTGATGCTATATTTGAATTCAAATGTGAACTCTGCGGCTGGGGCGATGTTTTGGTCCAAAAGACCCAGGGGTGTGGTAGAAGATCAGCTGAACAAGAGCCTGCCTGGGACCAGGTGTCCAAGAAGGCCAAGGGCATGGTGGGCTGTGTCAGCAGCAGTGGGGCAGCAGGAGCAGGGCAGTGAGCGTGGCCCTGTGCTGGGCAGCACTGCGGCCACAACTGGAGAGCTGTGTGCACTTGTGGGCCCTGTGAAGGTCCGCCCGAAATGGACGGGTGATGAACGATATTTTGGTGCAGAAATATCCGACAAAGGCACAGAGGTATTGCAGTAACAAATCAACAAAATACAATTTTTTTGATGATAACCACAGCTGAATATGCATTTGGTTATGGAATCTGGGGAAGAGAACGGTAGGACAAGGGAAAAAGGGAGGAAAGAAGGTTAGGGAAGGGGTATGGCTACAAAAACGTGATGTCTTCGGGGGCCCGCCGCCGAAACTCGCTGGTGCACACTTTGGGGAGATCTCAACATACGGTCGAACCGAATCCCAACATATACTGTTCTTGGTTGGGGGAATGATGGCCGAAATTAGGTTTCCATGGAGGGGAGAAGAATAGGAAGAGGAGGAGTGGGAGAGGCTATTCCATTGTTTTCATGGCCGAATGCTCACAGGTACGTTTGCTCTGGGCAGGTTTTCCCCCGTCCCCGAGTTGGGAGGGGGTACAATCCCAGTCTCTGGAAGGAGGTTGCCAGAGGGGTAACATGGGTGTGCCACTAGGGTGCCAGAGGGGTTCTTGGTTCCTTGTTGAGGGGATTTGCATCTCTGTTGGTCCATCACGGTGGTTGAAGGCAGACAAGAGGGGTCTTCTCTTGGAGGGGGTGAGCCACCCCAGAGCTCAGTCCGGCCAAGTCAGGAGTTTGGAAGAAAGCCCAGTTCCATAGTTCAGAAAAGGGCATCATGCCCCTTCGAGTACAGCATGGCATGTTCAGCAACCACCACCTGTGAAAACACTAAATAAGTATGAGACTTTCTTTCCCACCTGGCTCAACAGTTTTTAACCTTTCGGTGGTCTTTTTCTCATGACAATTGTGATGCAAAAAAAAAAAAAAGAAGGATTTTCAGATGGACATTCACAGGCCCGTGGGAAGCAGAAAGTCACAGATGGGCTTCAGCATGTGCACAGAAGGACTGAGGAGCTGGGCAAGGGTGTGGAGCAGAAGCCAAGTGAGGAGGTGCTGAGAGACCTTCAGCCTGGACAATGGAAGGCATAGGACGGACCGTCAGCAGACTTCCAACAATCCCTATGTGACATTACTCACCACACAAGCTGTTTCCCTACTAAACATGCCCTCAGTGAAACCAAGTGCTTTCGACACTGGAGTGGGTGATACTTCACTCTTGTAACTTGTTGGCTTCTTGGTTTTCTAGCAGAGGTTTGCCTGTTCATTTTCCCTTTTTCCTGCAACCAAAGATTACTCGGCACAATTTTTCCTGCCCCATTCAGGCCTGGATCAGATTGTGATCCAGTTGGAGTTTTCCACATCTGCGGCAGCAGTAGTAAAGGCGTTGCTGTCGTTTTCCCGGTTTTCCATATCAGGGCATTCAAGAATTAAAAGTTCTGTTTTACAGAAACAACGTTGCTTGCTGAGAGCAGCCAGGGACATATATCAACCTCATATCCATCCACAGTTCTTTTTAACGGGCCTGTTTTAACTTGGTCTGTGGGACTTTGATTCCCTATGTTGCTCTGGAATGTTCTGATTTCTCCTTAGAGGATGTGGTGGTAGATCTGAAAAGAAATGAGGTTCTGAATAATAGGTGATAACTTGTCCCTCATGCTTCTCTCCCTGCCACAGCTGAAAGAACCAAGAGCTGACTCTCCCCTGGTTCAATCTGCTCCTGGAGAAGACGCACAAGAGGAGCAAATTGAGGCGGACGAGCTCACGTTTCCATCAGTGGTCACAGAAGAGCCTGAATATCCTGAGCCTGTAAGTGCCAGCTGTGGTTGTGCTGTCTTTAGAGCAAGGCAGAGGTGCAAGTTTCAGAGCAGCCAGCTCTTCCTTTTGCTGGCTGAGGATGCTGAATACTGCCGTGCTGTCAGGAACTAGGGATTTCCTGCAGGCAGTGACAGCAGAATTTGGCCTTTGACCTGTGATGTTGAGGCCCCAAAGGGCTGGTGCCTCTGGGAGAGCATCTGGCTGCTTTGCTCAGGGAAGCTCTGTCTCTGGGCTTCTGCAGTGCTATGGCCGAGGGCACATGTGGTAGTTCTGGAGGTCAGAGGGCTTTCTTTGTTTTCTCTTGTTGGAAAGATATGTTTCGCTTGTGTTCTGCAGTTTTCTTGAGTTATTCTTCAGTTCTAAAGAGTCTTATTGCCTAGTTGTCTTTTGACTTTTGTTAAGACTCAAGGAGATGTTTGTTATATGTATATGTGTGGGGCCATTCCCTTTCCATTTTGCCAAAGAAAACAAGTGAGTAGTTATGAAGCGTCCTGGTGAGGCCTTTCAAGAAATAAAAGCTGCATTTTACACAGACAGCGTTGCTTGCTGATAGCAGCCAGGGAGGAATATCAACCTTATATGCATCTAGAGTTCTTTTTCAGTGGCCCATTTTAACTTGGTCTGTGGGAGTTTGATTCCCTGTGTTGCTATGGAATGTTCTGATTTCTCCTTAGAGGATGTGGTGGTAGATCTGAAAAGAAATGAGGTTCTGAATAATAGGTGATAACTTGTCCCTCATGCTTCTCTCCCTGCCACAGCAGACAGAACAAACAGCCGTCTCTCCCCTGGCTCCCTCTGCTCCTGGAGAAGAAGCCCAAGAGGAGCTAATTGAGGCGGACGCGCTCCAGTTTCCATCACTGGTCACACTAGAGCCTGAATATCCTGAGCCCGTAAGTGCCAGTTGTGGGTTTTGCTATGTTTCTTGCAAGGCAGAGGTGAACCTTTTGGAGCAGCCCGCGCTTCCTGTTTCTGGCTGAGGATGCTGAGTGCTGCCGTGCTGCCATGAGCTAGGGATTTCCTGCAGGCAGCGACAGCAGAACTTGGCCTTTGACCTGTGATGTTGAGGCCCTAAAAGGCTGGTGCCTCAGGGAGAGCATCTGGCTGCTTGGCTCAGGGAAGCTCTATCTCTGGGCTTCTGCAGCGCTGTGGCCAAGGGCACACGTGGTGGTGCTGGAGGTCACAGGGCTTTGTTTGTTTTTCTTCCCTTTTTGAGAAGGGTGTTTGGGCTTTGGGACTTCTCTGCAGTTTTCTTGAGGTATTCTTCAGTTCTAAAGAGTCTTATATCCAAGTTGTCTTTTGGCTTTTGATAAGACTCAATGAGATGGTTGTTATGTGCATGAAGCTGTGCGGAGCCATTCTCTTTCCATGCTGCCAAAGAAAGACAGTGAGTAGTTATGAAGCGTCCTGGTGAGGCAAAATCAGAAGGGGCAAGTTTGTATTGATGCAATTAGTGATGAAGTCTGGAGTTTTGGCAAGTGCCTTGGAGCCTGGAATGCGGGTGAAGCTGCAATTCCTTGACTGTTTTCTTATGTTGCTCAGAATAGGAAAGCCATCTAGAAATGGCTGATGCTGTATTTGAAGTCAAATGTGCAACTCTGCGGTTGGGGAGCTGTGTGGGTCCAAAAGACCCAGGGGTGCGGTAGAAGATCAGCTGAAGAAGAGCCAGCCTGGGACCAGGTGTTCAAGAAGGCCAAGGGCATGGTGGCTGTGCCAGCAGCAGTGGGGCAGCAGGAGCAGGGCAGTGAGTGTGGCCCTGTGCTGGGCAGCGCTGCGGCCACAGCTGGAGTGCTGTGTGCTTTTGAGTTCCCTGGGAAGCAGAAAGCCATGGAGGGGCTGCAGTGTTTTCACAGAAGGACGCAGGAGCTGGGCAAGGGTGTGGAACAGAGGCCCAGTGAGGAGGTGCTGAGGGAGCTTTAGCCTGGACAATGGGAGGAACAGGAGGGACCTTCAGACAGACTTCCATCTATCCCCACACGATAGTGCTCACCACAAGGGCCGTTTCTGTACTGAACATGCCCTCAGTGAAACCAAGTGCTTTAGATAACAGAGGGGGTGACACTTCTATCTTGTGCCTTGTTGGCTTGTTGGTTTTCTAGGAGAGGTTTGCCCTGATCATTTTCCCTTTTTCCAACAAGCAAAGATATTTCTGCACAATGTTTCCTGCCCCTTCCAGCCCTGGATGAGATTGTGATCCAGTTGGAATTTTTCCAGTCTGCAGCAGCAGTAGCAGAGGCGTTGCTGTCACTTTCCTCTTTTTCCTTTTCAGAGCTTTCAAGAACTAAAAGCTGCATTTTACAGAGGCAGTGTTGCTTGCTGATAGCAGCCAGGGAGAAATTGCAACCCTATGTCCTTCTAGAGTACTGTTGAATTCGCCCATTAAAATTTGGTCTATGGCATTTGCAATCTCTATGTCGCTTCGGAATGTTCTGATTTCTCCTTAGAAGATGTGGTGGTAGATCTGAAAAGAAATGAGGTTCTGAATGACAAGGGGCTGCCTGTGCCTCATGCTTCTCTCTTGCCTCAGCTGACAGAACCAAGAGCCATCTCTCCTCTGGCTTCCTCTGCTCCTGGAGAAGAAGCCCAAGAGGAGCAAATTGAGGTGGACAAGCTCCAGCTTCCATCAGTGGTCACACTAGAGCATGAATATTCCAAGCCCGTAAATGCCAGTTGTGTGTGATGCTATCTTGAGTGCAAGACAGAGGTACAAATTTCAGAGCAGCCAGCGCTTTCTATTGCTGGCTGAGGATGCTGAGTGCTGGAGTGCTGTCAGGAGCTAGGAATTTCCTGCAGGCAGCAACAGCAGAACTTGGCCTTTGACCTGTGATGTTGAGGCCCCAAAGGGCTGGTTTCTCTGGGAGAGCATCTGGCTGCTTGGCACAGGGAAGCTCTGTCTCTGGGCTTCTGCAGCACACATCGTAGTGCTGGAGGTCAGAAGGCTTTGTTTGTTTTTCTTTACTCTTTTGTTAGGTGTGTTTGGCTTGTGAAACTGCTCTGCAGTTGTCTTGAGTAAGTCTTCAGTTCTAGAAGCTCGTTTGGCCTTTTGGGTTTTGATAAGGTGCACGGCGCTGATTGTGTTGATTTTCTTGTGTCTTTTTTGCTATTTTCCAGCACTATGAGAAATTCTGCTAAAATTCTGTTTTGCATGTTGACAGTTCTTGAAGATGCAATGCATTTGCATGAGAACACTTAGTTTAAGACACGCGTGTTTGTGCAGATGGAACTTTTCTTGTTCCAGGCTAGTTAATTACACCTTGCACCTCCCTTTCAAATTAACAGTACCTCTATCTTTTTGCAGGCCAGGTAAGCAGTTTTTGTTGTGTCTGGTTTTGGGCAGGAAATCGGTGCCCTTGCATTCAAGCTGGTGCTCAGAGATCAGAGCAGCTAGGAGGGGCTGATTACAGCTCCTTATGCACATTTGTGGTCAAGTCCAAGAGAAGAACTTGCCTGAGTACAGATGCACAAAGAGTGCAGTTCCCAGATGCAATGCTCTGGGTCTGATCCTTTTCCACAAGGACTTACATGCTTCAGATTCCCCAAGAATGTGGTTTTTGTGCAACAGGAAAGCAATCTGAGGATTGCTGCTGAGTGGGGCTCTGCGACCGAGTGTTCATGTGTGTAGCAATAGAGAGGACAGTAAAGAGAGATGATAGTGGTGATATCCATAAGTCTGTCTATCTATCTATGTACGCTGTGTAACATTTACATAATTGAATCTTAGCCGACTCTATTCCAAGGCAGTTGGAGGTGCAAAGGTCACCTAAAGCAGCCCTTTCAGGAGTGGATTGGAGACATGTTCCCTTGAGAGATTCAGAGCAGGCAGAGATGTCTCCCCCTTCAGATATTGTGGTTTTTTTCCCCTCAGAGCTGTTTTTCTCCTTCAGCCTCTTCTTCCCTGAAGCTCCCAGTTAATTCTTTAATTTTCTGCCTGTCCTAGAGTGGTGAAGTATTCCATGTTTTAGGTGGTGAAGAGAACACGAACTCCAGAAGTGTCTCTGACAAGGCCTGAGCTCACCCAGAAAGCACCTGCAGAGCCAGGATGGAGCTGTGGGACAGGGCAGGTTGTCAGTCACTACTGAAAGACAAACAGGACAGAAGCAGAGGGAGGCCCTCACCAGACACTTGAGAAATGCCACACCTTCCCTGTCAGCTTCCTGAGAGGCTGTTGGAGCTTCAGTCCCAGATGGCCCCTGATTGTAGGGCCAGGGTCGCTTTGGAATCTGTGCCTCCCCTCAAACAGAAAATGACCCAGCAGAGCAGCAGCACAGTGCTTTGGGAACGAGTGAGCCCAGCAGTCTTTGAGTCTTGGCCCACAAAGGTCATATGGGAAGCTGAAACCCATCTTGTCTTGCTTTCTGTGCAGGTGCTTCTAGAGAGAGAGCAGGAGCAGATTGCTTCAACAGAGATGCCATGGCAGACTCAGGGAGAGCTGTTCCCAGCCCGAGAGCAGGAAGAGCAGCTCGGGCAGCAGGTGGAAGAGCCACAGGAGAAAGGCCAGGTAAGCCTGACTGGCCAAGGCACAAAGAGAAGGGCAGGGAGAGGGGCATAAACCAGAGCTCTTGGGACCGAGGAGGACAGGAGTCCCACAGGCACTGGAAGCACAGAGCCTTGGAATCTGCAGAGATCAGCCCTGGGACAGGAAGGTTACAGCGGAAGCAGATGTGGGTAGGGAAGCAGTAAGAAGTGGCTGAATAAATGTGATTTTGGGTCTGCAAAAGGAAATAACTGAGGCTGATGGCAGCTCCCAGTCACTTGCTCTGCATTTGTGTGCACAGATCATCAAGGCAGAGCCACAAGCAGAGCTGCCCGAAGCTCAGAGTGCCATCATGGATGTGAAGAGAAAGAGCAAGGAAGACTTGATAAGTATTCAAGAGGAGAATCTCCAGCAGCAGAGGGGCGATCAACAAATCCAGGTGAGTGAAAGAGTGGCAGGCACTCCACCCATGAAACATCCTCTCTCTTTTTTTTTAGAGAAGATTAAGGCACAGCTGAACACAGAGCTTCAGACAGCTCAAACTCGGATGAAGGCAAGGCTGAAGAGGCTGGAGGATGAAATAAAAATCATCAGAGAGAAACTTAATCCCCTCCCTCAGGCTCTACAAAAGCAAGTGAGTGAAAGAGGGATGCAGTCACTGCAGTCACCAAACTGGTGGTTTCTGCCCTTCTTGCCTTTCCAGTGCAGAGCAGCAGGGAGTGGGGCCATGCCTCTGAGTGCCATCCTGCTGTAGTGTGTAGCACAGTCACTCTGAAGGACATTTCCTGGTGTGCTCATTCTCTTCTGCTGCCCTGGATAACGTAACTTGTCCTTTGGCCTTTTGGTCAGCAGTCATCCAAATTGATTCCTGATGGCCTGTTCCTGCTCTCTTGGTTTCTTGAGGTGTTTTTACAGGGGAACATGGTGACCCAGATGGAGGATTGAAACAATCTGTCTGTATCCCTTGTCAATCTGTTCTTTCCCTATCCTCACAGTCGATGACTCCTGGCTGACAGGAAGAAGCTGTAGTGTCTGACTGCTTTGTTCTGTTTCATTTGAGGAGCGAGTTTTGACATCTGACTGGACAGCCTGTGAAGATTACCAGCGAATGTCTGCCACTGAAGAGCCCCAGGTTAGGAGTGAGGCGCAGGAACAGTGCCCACCAGAAGTGCTACAGGTTGAACATAACCTGAAGATGGTGCAGGAAAAGAAAACACAGTGGGAGGAGGAAGAACACTAGAACAAGGAGCTGCAAGTGTGTCTGCAGCTCTTGGAGGGGGAAAGGAATCCTTGAGAGGAAGTAGAATGGTGATTGTGGCAGTCATCCTTTGGAAAATCCATAAAAATGGAACATGAATCTGGCCATGAACTCGAGTAAAACTAGCCTTTGGTTTTGATCCATCCAGTTTGAGAAGTGGACATCAGAAAAAAGCCATTTAAGAGCCCTGCATGTTGCTGACAGCACATTTCTAAGGGCTTGCATTTCAAAAAGGGATCTCAGGGTAATTTCTGCCAGCCATCTTTTTGATATCAACTCATTTTTTGTCCCAGATCTACACAAGCTCTTTCACCAAACCTGCTGCAGCAGCAGCAGCATCGTCTAAAGGAGCCTTTTCTCCCCGGCCTGAGAAGTGGAGCCAGGGCAGTTTGTTCACCTCCCGCACTGACCCAGCTGCTGCTCAGCAACAGGAGGTCGAGGGTGACTCTCTGGAGCTACTGAGTACGTCTGCTGTGTTTCTTGTCTGAGGGACAGTGCGTTGTGTGCAGGTGCCAGCATAGCTGTACCAAATGTTTCTCCTGAGTTTGGTGTCATGGGGACATTTATGAGTCCCCACAGGAACTGCTGTAGAAAATCAGTCTCTGTTCTGGCCACCTGTGCTGCAGAGCTGTCTGCCTAGTTGTTGTTGTTGTTGTTACCCAGCTGAGCACAAAGGGCTCAGAGCTCCAAGCACTGGGGCTGCCTTTTGTATCTCCTGGAAGCTGAGGTCTCTGCTTCAATGTCAGCATCTTGCATTTTTGTTGCCTTCAGGGAAAATAGTAAACAAGGAAAATCCCAGGATGAAATACACAAGACTGGACTATATTGGCAGTGGGTAAGTCCAACCGCAGTTACTTCTACATAACCATGGGCCAGGTTTTTTTGTGGTGGAATGTCTATCCACCATGAAGTCAGGCAAGCTGCAAGCTGCAAATCTATCCCCTGTTCCAACACTAGGGATAGACCCATCTATCCCAGTGTCCCATCTCTCAGTGCTGCTCAGAATTTGTGTGTGCTCAGAAGGCACTGTCAGAGACACCTCCATGCTGCCAAGGTCTTGCCTGCAGCAAGAAACAGGACCTGGAAAATCTCATCTCTCAAGTGTGAGACACTTCTGTGTTAATTTCCTTAGCATTTTTTTATATCTCCAATTCATACTGCCACACTAATAAAGAGGGAAGAAAATTGCTTGCCTGAAGGAGAAACCTACTCCCTGATAGCTGTCAGATAACAGTTCTCAGGAACATTTCTTTCTGAGAGTTTGCTGAAGGAAATACTCTGTGGTCAGGATAAAAACTGAACAGTTTAGGAACTGAAACCCGAGATGAAAGACGCAGCGTTATTTTTGAGCTGAGGCAGTAAACCCAAGCAGTTCAGGAACAGGCCCGGTGCCCATGCACTTGAGAGGAAAATGCATCATCTGTCTTCTGGCAGAGCCCTCCTGCATCCTGCAGGTTTTTGGTACTCACAGCAGAGACCTCCTGAGTTGCCTGGCTTTCCCTGCAAGATCTAAATGGCTCCTACTTTCCTTGCGGCTTTTTTGTTTCTAGGACTTTTGGGGATGTGTGCAGAGCAGTTGACAATGCCACAGGAGGAGAGGTAAATGTCAACAGGCCCCGCAGACTCTGCTGCTATTGAGGGGCTTTCCCCTCTGGTGTGAGCTGTGGCTGGAGCTTTGGCTAGAGCCGTGCTGAAAAGGCACAAGAAACACAGACTGGTGCCAGCCTGCAAAATACATTTGGCACTTTGTCCTCCTCAGCTGCCGGAAGGAAGGCACGCAGGGCAGCGCTTCCTTTCAGAGAAGGACGCGCTCACTCACTCTCCATGGCTAAAACAAAGGTGGTGCCTTAGAGCACCTCCCAGCTCTTTGGGGCTACAGCTTCAGAGTCCTGAATTCTCGATTCTGGCTGCCAGCAAATCCATCGGAAAGTTACTGGTAGTTCCTTAGCCACCTGCAGTGCTGCACTTGGGGACTGCACGTAGGGAGAGATCTGCAAGTGCCCTAAAAGCCCTAAGCCCTGCCCATAGCCCAGGATGTATCCACAGAGTATTAAGGCATTGATTACTTCTTCTGAATCCCAAACAAAGCAGCAGAGAGTGTGGTCAGAGGTTTGTGGGTGATAGTTGAGACACCACTGGTTCCAAGTGGACAAGGCAAAATGTCAGTGGCCCCACGTGTCCTGTAACTGGCTCCCAAGGCAGCAGAGAAATGGGCTGTTGGAATGTCAGTTCCTAATTACTGCAGTGCCTAATCACAAGGCAGTTTGGCACAGCTCAGCTGTGTCATTGCAAAATCACACGCTCCATGTGCGTTGTGGTCTCGTGCCACCAACTTCTCAAGTTACTGATTTTCAATGTCATTTTAGGTGGCCATAAAGAAAATAAATCTAAAAGGACTGAGGAAGAAGAAATTAAAAGTCAATGAACTCATGGTCATGAAAATTAATAGGAATCCCAACCTGGTCAACTATTTAGACAGGTGAGTTTTTGTGAATGTTTTTTTACATATAGCAAACATGCAAGGTAAAATCCCAATTTGGTCAGTGGCAGAAAATAGAGCTGTAATTATTGGCCAATTATTATTGCTCTGCTCACCTCTAATGGATGGGAAGAGAGTGCATCTTGTCTGCATGAGTCTTCTCTGGCATACATAGTTTGAAAATTACTCAAAAACCTGGATCAGTCATATCTTACTAAATCAATAGCCTGTAAGTTCACAGCCACCACTTTGTTTTGGGGCTTGATTTTTATCAAGTGTCTTTTTCCATCCAGATAGACTAATTTAAATTTCCCTTGGAGTGTGTCCCCTGTTTTTCCATTGCTCTGCATGCCAGGAAGACTAGGTGCTTATTTCCAGAAAGACACAGTGTGACAGGTTTTTTATGTCTTAATAAATTGCATTTTTTACTTGCTGACCATTTAAGCTCCTTTTTCACAGTTGTGCCTTTCTTCTTGAGACTGCACAGATTGCAAACAATGCACAGCTGAGAGGGAATGTCTATTCCTTTGATTCTGTCCTAGTCATAAAGGAACCTGGAAACGAGAATCAATCAAGAACACACCCTAGCCATGCATGTCCATCTCCATACCCTTGTTTCCTTCTTCCAGCTACCTTGTGGGTGATGAACTCTGGCTAGTAATGGAGTTCATGGATGGAGGCACTCTGAGCGACATCATCAGCAAGACTCGCCTGTCTGAAGACCAGATGGCAGCCATCTGTCAGGAGGTCAGCAATCCCATCTGTGTTTCTGAGGGCTTGGGCAGGATTGTCTGGGAAACAGGGGCTCAGAACAGGAGAGGTTTCATGTGCCAAGCTTTGTTTCTGTGTGGCTGGTATGCTATGGGCAAGTAAAAGCACTTCAAGTGAAAGGCCTGCCAGTGCCCCTGCACTCCCTGTACTCAAGTCCAGTACTCTTATCTCCTGCTGTTGTACTCTGACTCTTCCTCTTGTATTTGCTCTTCTCCGTTTTGCCTCTCTAAACATTTGCCTGGAGCCTGTTTTCACTGCATTCCTTGCCTGTGAAATCAAAGGTGCTGGTGGCAGGATTTGAAATAAGCAGCAAAGAAAAAAGAGAGACTCATTTCTCACAGTCCTCTGCTGAAAAGAATAGTAGTGCAGCCAAAATGCTCTTTACTTCAGGAAGGTGACTTATGTGATACTTCCAAGTCTGTGCTGAGGCAAGCAATAAAACTTTTGTCATGCAGCCTCCTACTCAAAAGTGATCTGCTTCACACCAAAGGGAGGAACTTTTTCTTTTTTAGCAAAACCCTCATTTGTCTTCTGCGTGGAGATAGCAAATCCACTGCAGCAGCAGTCATCCTGGCTGGTTTGCAGGGGACAGTCTACAACAGCAGGTGCTGTTGCTCTTTCAGAAGCTGACGTGCCTTT